TCTTTATTCAACGCGGAACGACAACGATAGTGGTGGCGCAACTTCGCCGGTCCCGTTCACTGCTTGAAAAGGCTGCACAGAGCGCAGTATGAGAGAGTTCGGGCGTTGGCCTATTCAGACTGCGGGGGCAAATGCATACGCCACAACCACGCTCCAGACCGCGCTGCTCATCCGGCAAATTGGAGGACCTTGTGCCTCTCGGCTTCTCCTATGCGTGATGCCAGCAGAAAGGACGCTGATTCATGCTCAAATGCGGCACTGCGTATCTTCGAAACAGCTGCCGCTGGCATCCGACGTGGACTAACAAAACTGCGATCTCAGTGCCCCAGCACGCAAAATTTTCTGCGGGGCTACCGCCCCGCACCCCGCCTGGGATGAATTCACACCTCTCAACAGCTGTTCACACTTGGAAAACTCATCGGATTTGGGCCACTTGCCTGGGCGACCCTGGACCCCTGGCGGACGATCATGACGTCGGCCGGGACCCCCCGTGCGGGGGCCTTCCGGGAGATGTGGCATCTCTGCTGCGTTCAGAGCGCCGGAGCTGAAGCCGACGAGTTCTCCACGAGCAGGAAGCTCAGCAGCTGACGCGTCAGCGCTTTTCATCAGCTGTGCTTTTCCTCGGCCGGCGCCACCACATCTATCTGACTCTTCGCCTCTCCTGCTGTGCGCCTCTCACCTCCGCCTCACCCTCCGCATCCGCTCTCGCCGCCCCGACGGATGAGGCGCGGGTGGCGCTGCTCGAGCCGGAGGCGACGCCACCGTCGTCGGATCTGGCCAAGCCAAAGAAAACTGCGGCCTCCAGGCAACGCCTCGAGCCGTTGCTCGGTTCAGAGGTGTGCACGCATGCTGCGGGCCGCGGTTGCACGAGAGCCGACATTCTTCCTCGCATTCCGCTGGCGCGCGCCGCAGGTGATCCGACTCGGGCTTTCTCAATCTGCAGCCGCATCCGCCTGCGTTCGCAGCTCTGGCTGCGCGCAAGCCATCCCCCCCGATCTGCGCGCGCTGATGCGGGCTGGCAGGATGATGCGGACCGGTGCCAGTCTCTGTCCTTGGGGGCTTTTTTTTCGGAGGAGAAGAATTAGGCCGCAAGGAAAAGGGACCGACGAAAAAGAAAAATCCCGAGTTCATCGGTCGGTTGGCTGGCGCTCCGCGCGCTGCGCACTGCGCACAGCCCACCACCCACTGCTCACCGCTACGAGTCGAGCCCCAGCCCACCCCATTCCGGCAGGTGGGTGGTGAGCGTCCTGTACTGCGTCCCGGCCTGGCCCTCCGCTGGTATGGTTCGGCAGGGCGACTGGGAGCTGAAGGTGGTCCTCAACGGCGAGGCGCAGCCGGAGCATGTCATCGATGGGCATCACATCGTCGAGGCGCGGCCGGGCGCCAAGTTCTCGATCGAGGTCACGTTCCACGGTGAGGGCATGTGTGCGTTCGACGTCGAGCTCGACGGCAAGAAGGTGGATGCCATGCACGCTGTCGACACCACCGGCCAGGCTCCCAGGATGGCCGGTCGCAAGCACATCTATGCCGGCTTTGTGAAGCGCAACGAGGGGCAGGCGATCACGTCCGAATTTCAGTACTCCCACACTCGCGTGGAGGAGGGCGAGGGCGGCGGCGAGGGCGCGGGGAGCGGCATCGCCTCTGCGCCCGTCGACTGGTCGCGCGGCATCATCACGCTGCGCGTGCGGCAGGGCTATGCTTTTGAGGTGAAGCAAGACCAGCACGGCATCTCACACCAGCCCGACCTCGCTGGCCCTCGCGCCTCTGCCTCCGAGCGCGACATGGTCAAGGGAGGGCACTCGGCGACCGCCGCCGCGTCGAGCTCGAAGGCTTTCGGCAGCAACGGCCAGTGGAAAGCGGGCGAGTGGTGTGTCGGCCCCGTCCAGGGGGCGCCGGAGCTGGCCGAGCTGACTCTGAATTACCGCGACTCCTTCTTCCTCCTGCTTAAGGGCGACAAGGTGGCGCGCACAGCAGCGCCCTCCCCTCCCCGCACGCCCCCGCACCCCACCACCACACCGTGCTGCAGGCCAAGCTGCTCGACCCGGACCCCTGCTCCACCGAGGGCTGCTCCGACGGCGTCGCAAAGGCTCGCGCCAACGCCCGCCGCATCGTCGACGCAGAGGCGCGCCCGCCGCGCCGCCCGTGCGCCGCCCCGCGTTTGCCCGAGCGCTCGGCCCGGCTCCCTCGCGCAGGAGCGCATGCGGAAGATCCCAAAGGGGCCTCCTGTCTCCATCGACCTTACTGGATCCGACGAGGAGGAGGTGGAGCCGACACCCCTCGACTAGAGGCGGTCTGCTCGGCCGGGCCTTCTCGCTCTCGCCCGCAGCTCGTGAAGGCCACGCGCTTCCATACGTGGCTGGGTCATCGTGGTGCGGGGGCGCTTGCACAACAACATGTACATGTACATGTCGCTCGCCGACACGTCGCGCGTTACGTTCTGTTCCTCTGAATATGGCGGCTTGTCTGATACTATTCGTTCTGACTCTGCCCCGGGGAGATTGCGCCGCTCTCGTCTCTCGAGCGTCGAGGTCACGTTGTCTCTTGGACTTGGACTTTTACGCAGCTTTTGTTTTAGCTTTTACGTGTTTTGGCGAGAACTTGTCCCAATAAAGTAGAGAGTCCCCGGGGGATATTGATGGCACACACACACACACACACACACACACACACACACACACACACACACACACACACACACACACCCCGCTCACCCACGCGCACTGGGCCTTGCACTTTGAATGCCGTGGGGCTCCTGTCGTCAGACGTGGAGACGCGAGGGTTGCCCCCCCTTGCCCCACCACCTCGTGTGTGTGGAGAAGTTTACCTTACCTTACCTTACCTTATTGATGGCGCTGGCGCCTCTGCTGTTGACAAGTGGGATCATCTGGCTTCACCGGAATACTTCCGCGAAGCTGCCCCCAGCAGGCGTTTGACCAAAATCCAAATTTCCCTACTCCAGTTGAGGCTTCCCTCGGACCCGAGAAGGCATTGCCTCCAACTCTAAGGTGGTGAGGGGTTCGCAGTAGGACAAGCCTGCCTCAACGCTCAAGCGGGGTGGAGAGCGCGCGCGCGGTGTGAGAGCAGAGAGGGGCGAACGGCGACGATCGCGTGTATGGAGTTTACGCGGTGTGGAGGGTGGAGCTGGAGGGGCCCTTGTGTCCCCTCTCCCAATGTATGTGGCTCTTCCGAACATACTACAGAATACAGTACCCGCGGGGGGACTGCTCTCTGCTGGCAGGGTTTGGCGTTTGCGATGAATGAGGAGCGAGCTCCGTTGTCTCCGAAGAGTTTGTCATTGTACTTTTAGCTTCTCTCTCTCATTGTACGTACTTTTAGCTTACTTGGAGAATCTCTCATTGTACGTACTTTTAGCTTACTGGGAGAATCTCTCTCTCATTGTATGTGGCTCTTCGCGTACATTTCCCGTAGGTTGTAGGTATATTGTTGGCAAATCAAGACACAGAGCTCACACAGGATCACAGCGGGAGGAAAGCGGCGAGTCGCAATTCCAGGGGTCGTTGTGGCGGGCCACCCTGTCCAGAGAGGCATGGATGCCAATCTGGGGTCTCTCGACCGAGTCTATGAAGCCCTGGCCGCCTCCCGGTGGTGGCAGAGGTTATGGAACCAAGCGACGGAGATGGTGCGGGGGTACGGGTGTTCCAGGGGGTCACGACACGCACCGACCCTTCACGAACCGAAAGGCTGCACCCGGGGAAGGCACAGTAATCCGGGCACGTGTTGGGCGCCCCGTTCCGTTTAGGGCTAGGTCGGCTCAGGGCCCCGTCCACTTCCCTCCCACTTGGCGCGTGATGATGAGGAGATGCCACCCAGGCCAGCCAGGGCAAGGGCGGAGGGCGAGAGCGGAGAGCGGAGGGCTGGGCGGAGGCAAGGGCGGGCGGAGGGCGAGGATTTTTTTTTGTTTCGTTGGCCGAAGCCTCGTTGGCCGAAGCCTCATTTCCCGTAGGTAGGAAGGAGGACTCTGCTGACAGGGTTTTCACATTTTACGAGATCATAGAAGAAATGAGACCCGTTACGTGCCAATGCTCCAAAGTACTTTCACTGGAAGATCTTGCTCCCTCGCACAGCCGCGCCCAGTGTCTAACCCTCGGAGACCCGCGTTTACTTTACGGCCCTTTCCCTGCGAACGCGCACCCCCCCCTAGGGGTCAGGGCTCTCTTGCCCGTAGCCCGATACCGATCATCTGGCCGCTGGGTGCGCTTCTTAGCTCCCCGGCCCTGGATGTGGTTACCGACTGCACTCCAAGACCAAGTGCTCCAAAGTGCTCCCACCCCAATAAATAAATCAAAAACGGACACCTCTCTACTGTGAGATGGGTAAAAAGGAACAGGCCCCCGCCCTTGCGATCTTTGTGCAGGGTTCTTTGTGGGTGTGGTCGGCGACTAGCCGGGGTCGTCCTCCCGATGGGGGACTAGCACTAGCCGTCTTCCACATGGTCCCTCGGGTCCCTGCTGCTCCTAATCTCTTCGTACATCCTCCTGCTGATCTCCGCAAAGTCCTGCTCCCTCCCTCGTCTCGCCCTGCGCGTCTGCTCCGCCTCACCGTCTTCTGCCCTGCGTCGTCTGGCGACGGGTCCTCCATAGATAGTCGGTCGAGGTCGCCGCCCTCCTCGTGCCTCTTCCCAACGTTCCCTCGGCGGCCGATGCCGTCTGCTCCGGCTCCCCAGTCCCCGGCTCTGCCCTGCTCTCGTCTGCGCTAGTTTCTGCTTCGTCATCACTGGCGTCTCTCCTCTTCCTTCTCCCCTTCTTGTATGCTTTGCACATCGCGTCGATTCCTTTTCGCTCCCCAACGCCCAAGGAGCAAGGTGTGGGTCGCGTCCCTGATTTTTTTGCTCGTACGTCGTAAGTCTAAGAGGCGGATGACATTTTCGGAGACCAGCGGCACAGTTTTGGGCGAGGAGGGGGCGACCCTGGATCTTTGGCCTTTGGGAACCTGTTACCTCAGCACCCCTCTATAACCCCCCGTGGACCTCGGCGCTCGGCAGACGGCAGCTGTAAAAACTGCTAAACCTCGAGGTGCAATTCAACCTGCTCCACGGCGTCCGAGTCGTCTTCTCGAGGGGACCCGCCACTGGCTGCCCCATCAGCAGCGAGCCTCGCCGAAGCCGGCGGAGGCGTGTCCGGCTCGCCTCCCTCTCCCTCCCCTCCCTCCTCTCCCTGCGGCGCGAGCACGGCGTCCAACTGCAACTCGCCCGCCTCGAGGGGGCGGTTCGCCGCGAGGGAGCTATAGGAGCCGCTCGTCGACGAGCCCGACTGCGTGGGGGTGTCTTGGATCCCGGGCAGCCGCACGTTCCGCCGGAAGGACATCGCCCTCCTCCCCTCGCGCGCGAAGGAGTCGCGCCACACCACACGGCGGCCATCCGCCTGGCCTCGCCCGCCCGCCGCGGCCGCCGCCAGCTTCGCCGCCGTCGGGCTGCACGGCGAGACGGCCTCCTGCTCCTCCTCCTCCCCATCATCAAACGACGAGTACGCGGAGCCGAAGCTGCCCGCGTGGAAGTGGCGGCGCGGCTTGACGTGGGCGGCCTTGAGGGCGGCGGGCGGCGCCTCGAGGTCTCCTTGCTCGTCGTCGCGCTCGAGGCCTCCGTGCTCGAGGTACGGCGCGAGGTCGCGGGGCGAGTGGAGGTCGGGCGGCGGGAGGCAGGCCGGCGGGGTGAGGTCGTACGACACGGCGGAGGAGGCGGAGGTGGCTGAAGAGGGCAGGGGAGTAGGCGCGAGCGGTGTGAGACCCCGCCATCAACAACCCAAGGGCAGGGAGCGAGCAACACACCGCTTTCTCTCGACAGCGAGCGCACCACGACCGGCAGGTGATCGAGAGGCGGAGCGGCAACGTTGACGGCGGCCGACCGCCCCCTCGCCGCCGTGATGCGGTGCAAGGCGGCGCGGCGCCGGCCGGACATCTGTTTACCGGCGAGCCAGGCGATTGCCGCCTCCTTCGGAGACACATCCCCAATCATGCTCGGGGCGTCGGTGTACTCGGAGGAGAGCGTCACGACCCGCCGGACCGCAACGGGCGCTAGGGTCGGGGCGGCGGTGGGGGCCGGGGCGGCGGTGGGGGCCGTTTCGGCGGGTCCCTTAAAGCGCCGGGCCACGTACACGCATACGGCAAACACCGACAGGAGGACGGCGGCGGCGGCGACGGTGGCGCCGGCGATGATGGCGACAGCGGCGGTGGTGGCGGTTAGCGCCGGAGGCGGAGGCGGCGAGGGTGGAAATGCAAGGGTTCGTTCATGAAAGGCGAGCGCCATCATTCTCGCCAAAAAACTACCGGCGCCCACCGCTGCTCAAAGGCCCGTGCGGAGGGCACGGCAAACGCGTCCGCCATCATATCTCACGCGAAAAAAACTCGCGGCCGATCACCACCACCTAGGGTCAGTCAGCGATGCCAATCGTCCGGCCCGCTGGGTGCGCTTCTTAGCTCCCCGGCCCTGGATGTGCGGTTGATGACTGCACTCCAAGTGCTCCAAGTGCTCCAAGAGATGCGCGGTTCTGCGGTCGGCGAGGTGGATGGGTTGGGAGCGAGGGGGCGGAAGTGACCAGTGCGGTAGAGGGTCAGCTCGGGGCGCGTGAGCCGGACTTGGGGGCCGGACGGCTTTCATTTTCTCTCTGCGTTCTCGCACATGGAGTGCGAGGTATCTCGACTGTTGCCATCCCAAACTGTCACTCCCCTCTCTCCCGGCCGGGGTGGGGCGAGCGCGGGGGCGGCGGGTGTGCGGCGGGTGTGCGGGATGTCTGTGGGACCGAGAGAGCGATGTGCTTGTGTCCGCCTTGCGTTTGTTTCATAACATCGAAGGCTAGCTCAATAAAAACTAGATACCCACTCTTAGCTCCCCGGCCCTGGATGTGCGGTTGATGACTGCACTCCAAGTGCTCCAAGTGCACCACCACCTAGGTAGGGTCCAGTCAGCGATGCCAATCGTCCGGCCCGCTGGGTGCGCTTCTTAGCTCCCCGGCCCTGGGCGTGCGGTTAATGACCGCACTCCAAGTGCTCCAACCAAGCAAGCAAGAAAGTAAGTGCCGCAGCCTGCCTCCCCCCTCCCCCCATGGATGGATGCTTCCCGTGTGTGTGTGAGTCTCTCATCTGTCTGTCTGTCACCTACCTACGCACGCGGTCGCTCTCGCTCCCCTATGTGATGTATTTCCACACCGAATCTCCAAATATTTGGGCGAAGAAAAGGGTAATCATTCTGAACAATGGGAGACACATTGGGGGTTATACTCGAGTTCACGACCAATGCGCGACGCCAGGTTGCTGTGCGTGCTTTGCGTCTCCCACGTGGCGCACGCTGTGCCGCTCCCGCCGCCACTCGGTGTGACCAGCGCTCAGGAGCGCCCTCTACTGCGGCATCCAGAGTTCAGGATTGCGTTTACTCTGCCGTGGATCGGCTCGGCCTTCCCCGTCTGGGCGCCCTACTTCTTCGCCTCGTGCAGCCGGTCTAGCTTCATTGCTGACTGGCTGATCTTTCACGAGGGCTGCTGCCCTAGAATACACAGCGCCCACCGGCAGTTGCTCGAGCAAAGCAGCGGTGCAGGGTGACACATGCCCGTGCCGGGTGAGCTCTCCAAACAACCGTTGACCGCAGGCGCGGCGCGGCCCGAGGTGCCTGACAACGTCAAATTATACAACCTTGGCGGCCAAGGCCTACATGCTCTCGTACCCAGACGTGGCGCCGCGCCCCTCTAATCTGGCTCATTTTCAAAAGGTCTTGGCAGCCTCTTCGGCACTCGGCTTGCGGCTGCCCTTGGGTTTGCCCATGAATAGTCGAGCTCGCTCGCCGCCTCGGGTCCAGCCGCACGCGATTGCTGACTTTAGGCGCGAGGCGGACAGTCCCCGTCTGGCGCGCTAGCTATTCCGCCCGCACCTTGCTGCCTGTATGCGCCCATCTCGGACTCCCTCTTCGCTCCCTCTGCAACACGGTCAGGTGCGCCTCTTCCGAATTGCCTTCCGCGACTTTCCCTACGTCCTGACCCAGTTCAAGCCGACCCACGGCGCGCAGGCCGTGTGCGCCATGCGCGCTCCGCCACCGTCCCGCCGCACGCTCGGTCCTGACTCGCTCCCTAGGCACTGTCTTCCGAGACTACCTCCGAGGCTACTCGCACTGGTCATACACAGACATGGACCTGTTTGTCGGCGACTTGCCACTCTTTATCGAGCTGACAGAGCTACGGGACTACGACATCTTCACCTACACCCAGGGTGATACTGAAAACCTGTATCTGCGCGGCCAGTTCGCGCCTCACCGCAACACGCCGTCCGTCAACGCGCTCTTTTTGAGGTGTGGGCCTAGCACGGGCTGGACGAGAGTGACCCTTGGAGTGAGGCGATGCGAGAGGGACCCCATCCCCTGCCCATCGCCAGAGGGCCACAACATTGTCCGCATCTCTCTTTACCTCAAGGTGCCCGCGGCTGGGCGCGGGGCTGACCGAGTCGCTCGAGGCCAAGAGCCGTGAGGCTGAGGTCCGCTCCTCCTTGCTTCGCTTGTGATGCCATCGGACAGCCACGAACACCGTCGCCGCCATCACCGCCTTCACACGCCCTCGCACGCCCTCGTCTGCCTTCACCGCAGCCGCCCTCACTCTTCCCGTTCCCTCATAGCCCTCACCACCCGCACCACCCGTCCCGCAGAGCTCAAGGCGCGGACCGCACGAGCAATACTTCCCAGACGACGAGGGCTGCTACTCGTGGGTCGTCGCGACCAGCTCGGCGCGCGTCCGCTACGCCCCCAAGGCCTTTGCAGACATGGACTTCAGGCCGGTCTTCTTTGCAGATGGCGCAATCCTCAGGGATGCCAGCGCTGACCGCGCCGTGCCGTCGGGCGGCTCAGCCGCGTGCAGTCTGGGCCAGGGCAGGATGGATACCGCCCCGTCGATGGCAATGGCGGGCGCCCAGCGGACCGTGGGGCCCCCTTTCCGCGTGGAACTCTCGCCAGCGTGCCCATCAGAGGGCTGGGTGGAGTCCCAGTACCGCGTCTGCATCGACATTTTGGCACCCGCATCTCTAGATGCCCCTTCCCAACGTCACCCCTCACTAGGCCAAGCCGATGCCCCAACTTGGACTAGTGCGCGCCCACGCCCTGCGCCGCGCTTTGTGACGTACGCAGCCCCCTGTAACGCCACCACAGCGACTCAACCGCTCGGGCTGGCCCGGCGAACAAGGAGCTGGAGAGTGGAGCTGGAACTGGAATGTGGAGCATGCAGACGGGTCGTGGTGGGCGCAAGTTATGGCCCCGGTCGAGCTTCAAGGCGGCTGCGAAGAGGGCGCGTTCTTCCACTTCCAAACTTGGAAGCGTCAGTACAAGACGCTGGCCTACGGCAGTCCCGGCCTACCCGCACTGCGAGGCGGCCGCCACTGGAGGGCATCGCCTGAGGGGCTGCTCCCCGTCGTCGCCCCCGACGGCGCTCTCGACAGAGGGCTGAATTTGTCCGAAGGGGGTTTGTTGACTGGTTGAGTGCTTGAGTCTTGAGAATTGGGAGACTGCGAGTCAGGAGTCTGCGAGGTGTCTAGACTCTAGTCCATGGTGTATGAATCTCTTGCTCTCATTGTACGTAGAGAGCTTATTCTTTTGGGCTGTGTCCTGTGAATCTCACTCACGGCCACACCGGACGTCTCCTCCAGCTCCACGCTCCGGCTCAGTCGTCCTCTCCGCGGCGGCTCACAGGCCGATGTGGTACGAGCGGCCGTTCGGGTTGTGGATGGGCGACGGCTGCGGCTCGGTGAGCGCCCACTCATACCACACGCGGTGGCGCGAGGCGTTGCGCCAGAAGGCCGCCTCGACGCGGCCTCCCTCCGGCACGAGGACCGGCGTGCGGAGCGGGATGAAGAGCGGGAACCACGAGAACATGCCGACCGACTCGGTGCTCGGCTCGGTCGAGATGTGCACCGCCTCGGAGCCGTCGTCCCAGAGCGTCGAGTGGAAGTAGCCGATGAAGCCGTGCAGCTCGCCGCCAAGCGGCACGTCGAACGAGAGCTGCGCCACGCGCGAGTTGTCGATCGCGCCTACAAGTAGGTCCCGAGGAGGGTCCGGGAAGGGTCCAGGACGATTCTTCCGCGACTTGTCGGTCGCGCCGATCTCGGCGACGGTGCGCGCGTCCGACGGGTGCGTAAAGACGAAGCACGGCTGGGGCGCACACATCGGGTACGCGTTGTGCACCTGAGGGTCGTGGGTCGTGGGTCGGGGCGAGGGCGAGTGGTGCGGGGGCCACGCCCATGCGGTGCACCTTGACGACGTACTGCGTCTCAAAGTGCGCCAAGTCCTTGAAGTGCTTCACCTGCGGGACATGTCTCGCGGACACGTGTCGGACGACGTGTCTCCCGCACACGTCGCGGGTCCCTTGGGAGGGCGTCGCCTCGTTCCACAGCCGCGAGGACGAGAGCGGCGCGACGTACGACGTGTAGTCGGTCGGGATGGAGGCGCCTCCCGGCTTGAGGTAGCGCTGCGCGCCTACAGGACGTGTCGTGGACGTGTCCTGGACGCGCCTCATGGCCGGCTTGAGGTGGCGCTTGCGCGCCGTCGAGGCACTCTGGCGAGAGCTCGTTGTCTCCCCACGAGCCGAGCAGCTCCGACACGAGCAGGTCCGCCAGCACGGGCGCCTGGAGGGGAGGCAGGGAACAGAAGAAGGAGGCCGCTTGGGGCGCAGAGAGCGTACTCGGCGGATCGCGGCTGGTCTCGGCTGATCTCGATCTCGGCTACTCTCGGCGCCTCCCACTCGCGCATGTCGCCCGGCACCACCGTCACCGCGTCCCAGCCCGCCTCGGTCGCGCACCGGCCTCGCAGCGTCACCACCGCGTTCGGGTTCTTCTCCACCGCGAAGGCACGCACCCGCCGGCCCGACGCAGCGGACGCGCGCAGCGTCGCGGCGACGAGGGGCCCTCTCCCCGCCCCGACGACCTGGGGTCAGGGTCCGGATCCGAGGTCGGGGTCGGGGTCGGGGTCGGGGTCGGGGTTCGGGGTCGGGCTTAAACGAAGTAGCGTACCATCACGACGGCGGGCTCTCCGCCAGGCTGGTGCCGCTGGCAGAGGTAGAGGTAGACGGCCCTCTCGTACCGCTCGTACTTGACCGGGTCCTGTGCACGCATGTCCGCCCCGGTGAAGGGACGCCGCCCCGCAGAGCCCCCTGTCTGCCTCTGCCCCCTCCCGCCTTCTCAAACGTCTCGTACGTCTGCGACTCGAGGTTGTCCTGCAGCGGCTGGAGCGGCGCCTGCAGAAAGTCGTAGTACGGCGCCTCGTACCGCTCCTACTCGCCGCACACGGGCAAGCCTCACTCGCCGACGAGCGACTCACCCGCTGCCGCCCTCGGCTGCGGCCGCTCCTGCTGCGACGGCGCGAGCCGCTGCGAGACGAGGTAGCGCAAGTACTGGACGTGCGCGCCGAGCCCCTCGCTGTGCGCGTCGGCGCGGCCAGAGACGAGCAGGCGCGGCTTGTGCTGCAGGAGGCGCGCGAGGGCGGCCTGGTGCCTCCGCGAGAGGGTCGGGTAGCCGCGCTTGTTCGTCAGGTATGCGACCGCCGGCGTGACGACCGCGCGGAGCGGCTCGCCTGCGCGGAGGGCTCCGAGGCGGTTTCACGCAAGATGCCCAGAGGGCTCCCGGGAAGGCCGAGGGTGGAAGGCTCGCCGAGCCAGCGCTCTAGCTCGGCCTCGTCGTCGGGCAGGTCGGCGCCCAGCTCGAGCGACACGCCCAGGTTGGGCGCGTGCTCGCACAGGCAGCGCAGCCGGTTCCAGCTCGCCCACGCGCCGGTGCCGCTGCTGCCGTCCTCGTCGCCGCCCGCCGCCTCGGCAGTGCTTTGCGGCGGGTGCGTGATTGGCACCCGCACCCAGAACTGGATGTGCGGCGCAGAGAGGAGCGCCTGGTTGACGCAGTGCGCGTAGTTGACCGCGTCCGAGCCGACCGGCGGCAGCATGACGGCGGGCACGTTCAGGTGTGCCGCCCACGCAACCTCCTGCTTGAAGGCGGCCTCGGACTGCTTGCGCAGCGCCTCGTCGGCCGAGTCGAGCCGGATCCACGGCGACAGCTTGCCAACCACCAGCCGGCACCACGCGTTCGAGTCAAGCACCAAGTCGGACCGTGTGAACTGCTCCGCGCGCGGCCGACGGTGGTCGCGCCAGTAGCGCGGGTGGGCGAGCGGCACGACGCAGAAGTTTGCCTGCCACTGGTCGGTCGCCAGCGCGAGGTGCTTCTTCAGGTCGGCCACGGTCGGAGTGGAGACGCCAATCTCAATGTTCACCGCCGCGCGAGCCATGAGGAGCAGTCCCGTGATGTCAACGTGGCCGTGCCAGCATGCCACTTTGCTGGCTTGCGCCGCACTGCGGTACAAGGTGGTCTTGGTCTACCATGGCAATGCCGCTGAGACTGATGAGTACCTGTACGACCCGAACTACACGCCGACGCGAGACATCGAGCAAGTGGTCCACACGCTAAGCGCAATGTTCAAACCGACCTCTGTCGAGCCTGAGCTTAGACAGGGGCTGTAAGGTAGTGAAAGACCTTCCCTGGGTCTGTCTCTCACACCCTCACTGTCGTCGCATGCGAGGTTCTTGTTTCTTATCTCCCTACTGTGAATGTTATAAACACTCTCTCGAGGTTCTCGAGGTATGTGGGACGCGTCCAGGTATTTTTCGGGTAAACCAGGACTTTTGCAGGTATACCCGGGTTTTACCCGGAGTTGGCCTTATGTCGTCTAAGTTCAGGCCCCCCGACATACAGCGTCTAAGTCTGAGCCCGGCTCTGTGCGGGGGCTAAGTTGAGAGCGCTCGCTCGCTGCAGAGGCTAAACCCCTCGTCGGCGGACATATCTCGGCGGAAAAGAATTCGCGGAGTGTGTGTGTCACGCCCTTCACGCGAGGCATGCCACGTGGAAAGCAGTGCGCGACATTTAGTTCGTGCGTCCTTAGCGAGCGTCGTCTGAGGACTGAGTTACAAGCACGGTCCACGCTGTGGCGGGACGTGTGCGCTTTCATCTCCCCACATCTCCCCACAGGTTGAGCTCCATATCCCCCCATGTCTCCCCATATAGTGTCGGGTCGAGAATAATAAAGTGATACCTCCGGGAAAAGAAAACCTACCTAAAGCGAGCGCACGCCGAGATGCGACTTCATTCGCTGCTGCCGCTGCTGCCGCCGTTGAACGCGGCGGCGAAGCTGGCGCGGAGGCTGTGCGTCGGCATCTCCTGCGCTGCGGCGGGCGCCGCCACCAGCGCGCGGTGCGCCCGGCTGTCGGCGGACGACGACCGCCGCGTTGACTGGAATGACGACCGGTTGCTGGACGGCGTGCCGCGGGCGGGCGAGAGCGGCACCATCTACACCAACGTCTACTCCTTGGCTCTCGATGGCAGCCCGCACTGCACAACGCAGCAGCACCAGCACGCGCTTTCCCGTGGGCCAGCAACGCTCGTGCTGCTGTGGCGCGAAGTGATGAAGCAGGGCGGCAGGCCGATGGGTCACTCGTCAGAGCGCTGGTTGGGTGGACTCTACGCGAACGGCCTGCCGCCTGGCACGCCGGCGTGCACGCCGGTCAAGGTTCCGATCGGCAGCGGCTTCGACTTCGCCCTCGTCCCGCTGCCGCTCGAGGAGAATGGGCCGCTCATCTACAAGGCGACGCCCCTCACACACCCGCGCGCGCGCACACACACACCGCCGCGCGCGCGCACACACACACACGCCCTGCCCTCTCACCATCGCGGTCATGACCCTCCGGCCGCAGGAGGACAAGTCGTGCTCGCCGTACTTCTCGGTGGAAGACAAACCCGCAGGACGGACCCAGCTCCAACTCAAGGCCGAGGTCAGTGTCACTGGGGGCCAAGAAGTAGCCCTACTCGCGGGCACCCCCGGCGCGCACGACCCCACTGTCCGAGAGTCCTTGATGATGGACACAGCCGCCTACTACTGCGGCGAGATATTCAACGGGGTTGATGTCTTCACCTCGAGCCCGGATACCGTCCGAGATTGGCCTGGCGCGCTGAGCACAGATGCTCCCCCCCCCCTCCCCCCCCTCTTCCTCCCAGGCGCGGAGGCCCACCTGTCGGGTGAGTTCAGATCGATCGAGTGGTCCACGGGCATTTTGGCATCCGACGGCTTGCGGAGGGGCCCCATCGGGTCGCAATGGCGGGCGGGGCTCGGCCCGGCCGACGCCTCGCCCCCGGAGGCGGAGCGGCACGTCTCCTCGGGTGGCTGGGAGGGACTATGCCTGCGGCCCAAGGCGGAGGAGGACAAGGACGGCAACCTTCGGAAGCCGCCGCGCGTGCTCATCACGGAGGCGCCGCCGCCCCGCACGCTCGTCACCCTCGCCCTCCTCACACACCATCGCCTACCCCATTCCTCACCAACCCAGTCCCTCCTCGGCATATCAGGAGGTCGCGGACCGCATGGCCCTGGTCGCCTCACTCCCAATCGGGTTTTGAGTTAGTGAAGATGACACGAGATCACACGAGATGACACGAGATGACACGAGATCGCCTGCTACATCGTGTGCTCTTGAGAATAGTCTCGAGAATAGTCTAGATCACACGAGAATAGTCTAGATCACACGAGATCGGCACGAGATCACACGAGATGAGTCGAGATGAGGCGCGACGAGCAGAGATGACACGAGATCACACGAGATCACACGAGATCGCCGGCTACATCCCGAGCTTGTATGCTCCTGACAGCCCACCAACGTCTTGTTGTATAGGAGCCTCGCCGGCTGGTACATTGGCGACCAGCCATCGCATGGCGCCAACACCGGCTACGACACGAAGCTCATCATGCAGGTCATCCTGCCGTCGACCGTCGAGCTCGTCCGCCTCGCGCAGGCAGAGGAGGCCGCTTGGCAGGAGGCCAATCCAGGCGTGCGGCCAAGAGAGAGATGGTATGAGGAGGGAGTAGTCTAGTAATCGATGAAGCCGAGCCTGCAGGCGGCGACGCAGGCGGGGAGCACGCCCTCCCCATGGCGTTTGTCGAGCCCATCGACGAGGACATGCCGCCGCCTCCCATGAACCCGATGCTGCCGCACGACGACGACGGCTCGATGCTGCCGCCCGACGACAGCGGCTCGAGCGTGCTCGTGGACGGGGCGGAGGCAGCGAGGAGGGCACTCACCCGCGCCGCAATCTCGGCGGCGCTTGCGCCCGACGGCGAGTACGGGCGCGCGGCGGTCGCCGAGGCGATGGCGGCCGCCGCGGGCGAGGACGACGAGCGGGTGCCAGAGCGCCAGCGGCGCGACGCCGCCCTCGCAGGTGTGGCGGTGTGGGCGGGGGGCGAGCTGCAGCACGAGGCAGCGTTTGCCGCCGGAACCGTCGCCATGGTGTCTGGCGCGGCCCTTCTCGTGGGTGGCGGGGGCGCCCTCGTCCCGGTGGTGTTTGTGGTTGTGTGCTCCGTGTACTCAGTCATCGTCGCCCGCGTGATCGCGCAACTTGAGGGGTAGCGTCTACACCGAACTCACGACACAATGTGCAGCAAAACTGGCCCCAGGTTTTTGGGCTCGGGGCTATACCGGAACTGATTGTGAAAACTCATAGCACGAATTGGTTTCGTCGCAGAGTCCAGAGAGCGGCATAACTCGTGAAAGTCGTGATTTCTTGTTGGTCTTTAAAAATCTCTCTCTAACTCGTAAGAGTCCCTCTGAAGTTTGCGCCCGGACGTCTGGGGGGGCGACCCCCCCCATCTTTGTTTGCCGAATGCGTCTCTGGATCAGAGTGCGTCTAGTAGGTGCCCTACTTAGACGCTCGCTGTCCTCGGTATGCTCGATCGAGCATCCTAAGATACGCGAGTCCATATATTAGTTGCTCCGCGCATCCCGAATTGCTCGCGGTGCATCTCCGATTGGCGCTGCTGTCTCAAAAGAGGCGCTGTGCATACCTTGATCAGCGCGTGTCTCAGAAGACGCGCGCATATTTTGAACAGCGCCTGTCCCAAGAAACTTTCAGATCGCGCACTACGCAGGCGGGGAGGGACTATGCCTGCGAGAATAAAGTGACGCCGACAATGAGATCGCCGGTGGCGGAGGCAGGCCGAATCGCCAATGCGGTCCCGAATGCGGTCGACAAGACGGCACGGCGATACCAATGAACCTACGACTGCAGTCTACCGGTAGAATTGGTAGACCGCGGTAGACGCGTCTACCCCTTTTTCAGCCGCCGAACGGTAGACCGCCGCCGCCGGACGGTAGACCCGCCTCGGCCAGTATGTTGAATATGCAGCCTCCAGTTCTCCACTCTGGCGCCACTTTGGCAGACGAGCGCCGGCAGATGCCCTCGCGGCCTGCCGGCGAACGTCCGTCCGGCGAGAACGCGCGCCATAATGGACGTGTGGCTGTCTGGCGAAAACTCGCTCTCGAGAGCCGCGAGAGGGCGGCGCTCTCCAGTGAGCGGTTCCACCCGATGAGTGTGTAAAGACGTTCATTTGATCTCATAAAAGACACGGAGCGCGGCTCGCACGGAAATGGCATGAGGTGAAGCTCACAGCGACCGCGCTCAACAGCCTCTCTTACCGGCAGATTTCGCCCGCGCGGCAGACCGCACTTTCATCGAGGCATCGCCGCCGTCCTTCGGCCTTCGCCACATTCAGCCATGCTCGGCCGCTCCCTCGCCCGCGCCGTGCGCCCGCGCCTGTCCCGAGGCCTCGCCACCGGTGAGACCTACGACATGGTCGTCATCGGCGGCGGCCCGGGCGGCTACCCCACCGCCACCAAGGCGGGCCAACTTGGCATGAAAGTCGCCTGCATACAGGTGCGAGGACGGCTGGGAGGCACGTGCCTCAATGTGGGGTGCATCCCGTCCAAGGCGCTGCTGCACTCCTCGCACCTGTATGAGGAGGCAGCGAAAGGGTGGGGTCCGCACGGCATCTCCGCCGACAACGTCAAGATGGACCTTGACAAGCTGATGAAGCACCCAATCGGCATCTTGGGCCGCGCTGCAGTGCCGCCGTGGCGCGGAGCGTGGCCGCCCACGGGCAATTCTTTTTTGGAAGCCTTTAATCCCCTCCGTCCCCTTCAGCTAAAAAAAGAAAACAACGTCCGCACTACATGGACCCAGCGGCCGGCAGCGTCCGTCGGGTGATGTTTGCGGTCAGAGCAGCCCGCCCTGTGAGAGCAGCCTCGGCCCGCGCCCTCCTCCTCGCGGCGATCCTCGCGCGCGCCACCGGTCACGGCGCCGGCGTCTGGCGGGATCCGCACCACTACCGCTCAGACTCGTCGCTCGCTGGCCTCCGCTTCGTCTCGGAGTCACCGCCGCACGAGCTGAACATCGTCGGCACCGATGACGGGACGAGCTGGTGGGCCCTCAAGGGCCGCTGCAGCGGTCTCGGCATGCGCAACATCACCATCGACTTCAGTCCCAAAGGCGGCCCATCGGACGCCACCGGCAGGTGCCTCTTGCGCTGCGACGCATCCCAGGCCAAGCCGGGCGGGAGACTCACCCTCGTGCCCGCGCCGCGCGAGCAGGTGGTCGCCCGGCGAGACCATCACGTGGCCAGACGGCAACATGTGGGCCTTGCTCGCGGCTCCCACGCGCGCGTTTCTCTTGGACGCCGCCGACGACCACACCGGCGTTTTCTTCGACCCGCACCACTTCAAGGTGGGCACCTTCCGGGGCATGCGGTTTATCGCCGAGGACCCGCCCCACGTCCTAAAGATGGTTGGCTCCGACGACGGCACCTTTTGGTTCCTCGAGGGCTTCTGCACCGGACCAAAGATGACGAGCATCCACTTCGACTTCTCTCCAAAGGGCGGGCCGAAGGAGCTGGTCGGCAAGTGGGCGCCCTCGCCCGCGCGCACCATCACCTGGCCGGACGGGAATGTGTGGTCGAAAGCCGTCCCGGAGCTGCAGGCCTCCTTCGCCGTGCGCCACGGAGGCGGGACGGTGCCGTCGCGCGCCCGCGTCGAGCCCTCGCCGACGCACGCGTCCGGCAGCCTCCCACTTAGCCTCCCGGTGCTCGTCGCCTCTGTCGCGATGCTCGCCCTCGCCGTCGCCGTGCGCCGAGTGATCGGCTCGAGCAGCCGCGGGGCTGCGGAGGCCCGCCAGACGCAGCTCGCCGAGTGCGAGAATTTTGGGCCCCCCTAAAAACACAAAAAAAGGCGAGAGAAAGCGACCAGTCCGGTGAGGCCGAAAAATTCTTTTCCGCTTCGCGGCAGGCTTTGGCGAGTCCTCTACGAGTGCCTGCAGCAGCTCTCCGCACCAGAGTGCTCCATCAGAGCGCCATGGCAGTGGACTGCCCGTCGATCTCCAACTGGCTTCTCCAGGTCCAGCAGGCCGGCGGCGCGCCCGCCACCAGCGGCGCGACGCTTCTTACCGGGAACGCGTCCGCGCACACCGAGGAGCTGCGGGCGCAACTCCGAGCGGCTGCGGCGACGGAGAGCGACGCCCGATACCTGCTCGATCCCGCAGCGTGGCACTCCTTTGCCTGCTCTGATGGCGGCGTCGACGGCGCGGATTCGTGCGCCACTCTCGTCGACGACGTCGCGGCGACGCTGCAGCAACGCGCAGGCATGTGGACGGTGGTCTTTGTGGCTGCCGCCGAGCTGGCGCCCGCCGCTCAGATTGCGTCCATCGTCGGCCGGTTCTGGCGGGCCGCTCGCTGTATCCACTCGAGTGCGACGGACCGCCTCGACGCAGACTGTCGCAGGACGCTCTTTGTGCTCTCGACGCGGCTCGGCGACGAGGCGGCCATGGAGACGGCGGCCGGGCTGGGTGGTGGCGGGCTGGCTGGAGGCGGGCTGGCTGGAGGCGGGCCAGAGGGCGAGGAGGGCAGCGCTGGGACGCTGAGCGGCGTGCGGCTCCGCGAGCGGGTCGCGCGCGACGCGGCGGCGTGGCTCGCGTCGGTGGACCGCGCGGCGCCGCCCTCGCAGCGGCCGGGTCGCCTGCTGCGCGAGCGGCTCTGCGTCGGGCGAGGGGCGCCGGGCCGCGCGCCGTTTGAGGCGCTCGTCGCGCGGCAGCGGGAGGTGCGTGCGGCGAGGCGCGGCAGAGGGTCGGCGCAGGGCGTGTGCGTCGCAGCGGCCGGCGCGTCCGACCGCTGCGCCGGCGATGCGGGCGAGCTGTCTGCGCTCGACGCGCTCGTCGGGCAGGAGGGCGATCCCACTCGCACCGAGTAGTGACAAGGAATGAAGGGCAGGAGGGCGATCCCACTCGCAATGAGTAGTGACAAGGAATGAGTAGTGACAAGGAATGAGTAGTGACAAGGAATGAGTAGTGACAAGGAATGAGTAGGACAAGGAATGAGTAGAGACAAGGAATGAGTAGTGACAAGGAATGAGTAGTGCAAGGAATGAGTAGTGACAAGGAATGAGTAGTGACAAGGAATGCAGGGACGACTCCCGGTGTCCGCTGGCAGGAGGGCGTGGTGGCGGAGGTCCGCTCGCGGCTCGAGGCGGCGAGGGTCGGGGCGAGCGGCGGCGAGGACGCGCACGTCCTCTTCTTCTACGGCTACCCGGGCGCCGGAAGGACAGCCCCTCGCGGAGCTGATGAGATTGCCCGAGATCGTCCGAGATTGTCCGAGAGTAGGCACCGGAAAGACGTACCTCGCGGAGCTGATCGCGACCGCGGCGCACGGCGACGCGGCGCCGCCGCACTACCGTAAGTTCGCCATGCAGGAGCCCGCCGCTGCCTCCGCCTCCGCCGGCCCTGCCTCCTCCGCCGCCGCCGCCTCCACCGCCACCGGCCGCGTCCGCGACAGCCTCACCCCCAAGCCCGCATACGCCCTTCCCGTCCGGCGCCGCAGAACTACCGCACCGACGAAGACCTCTGGAAGCTCGTCTCGCCGCCGTGCGGCATCAAGGGAGAAGGCGCGTTCGCCGCGCTCTTTGCCGGCGCGCATGGCGAGGGGCGCGAGAAGGGCGAGGGGCGCGGCGCGAGAGCCGCCTCGGCGCCGGTCGGGCCCGTCGTGGTCTTCGACGAGATCGAGGAGGCGCGGCGAGACTTCATGACGACGGCGCTCGTCAACGCGATTGACCACCGCGGCTTTGTCGAGTACACGCTCAAGCGCGCCGACGGCTCCGACGGCTGCGACACGCGGCACGCGCCTAGACACCTCCTAGACACTTCCAGACACCTCCTCGACACCTCCTCGACACCTCCTAGACACCTCCTCGACACCTCCTCGACACCTCCTCGACACCTCCTCGACACGCGGCACGCGGCATCCCGACCGCGGCTCCTCCTCCTCGAAGCGGGCTGCCTGCACAGAGCTAGCTGCCTTCACAGAGCTAGCTGCCTTCACAGAGCTAGCTGCCTGCACAGAGCTAGCTGCCTTCACAGAGCTAGCTGCCTGCACAGAGCTGAGCTGCGAGCAGGCACGCGCCGACCGCGGGTGCAATCTTCGTCCTCACCTCCAACTGCTTCCTCGACGAGCTTGCCGAGGTGTGGAGGCGGCACGCGGCCGGTGTTAACTAGTGTTATTTAGTGTTATTTAGTGTTAATTAGGTGTGGAGGCGGCACGCGGCGGGCGGCCGGCCGCACGCGGACGCATACGAGGCGACGCGCGCAGAGATGGAGCGGCGCATCTTCACCGACGCCATCCCGTGCTCGCGCGCCGACGGCACACCCTCGCCGTTTGCGGCGGGCAAGATGCGCGACCGCATGCGCGGCAACGCCTTCCCCTTTCTGCCGCTGAGCGGCGAGCAGATGGCGGCCGCCTTCGAGATGCAGCTCGAGCGGCGCGCGAACCACTACGAGGACGAGAACGGCGTCTCGCTCCACTGGACGCGCGACTTTGCGCGCCTCGCGGTGCCTGCACCGTCGCCCGCCGCCTCCGCCTCCGCCGCCTCCGACGGCGCCGCCGGCCCCGTGCGAGCGGGCGGCGCGAGCCAGCCCCGAGGCTGACCACAGCGCGGCGCCGCTGTAGGCGGAGAGTCGGTCCGGAAGCGCATCGACGTGCTCATGCGCCTGGACTCGCATTCGGTCGAGCGGCTGTACGCCTCTGCGGCGTCGCGCTGCCGGCCGCGCCGCTTGGAGGCGCTCATCCTGCACACCCGCGCAGGCACGCCCGCCGCAGAGCCAATCTGCGCCGGCGGAGACAGGGCAGAGGGCGACGCAGAGGAGCAGCGAGCCGCACCTACCAGCGCGCCTCCGCAGCGGCACCATTCGCTCGGTGGTGAAGCACGTCCTTTGGGCGGCCGTAGCGGCGGCGGCGATAGTGGCGGCGGCGGCGGCAGTCCCGAGCCCGCGGCCGGCCGGTTCGCCCGAGAGAGCGTCCCGGAGCGGGTGCTGGACGCGGAGGGCGAGGCTCGGCTGGCGAGGCTGAGGCTGGAGGGGGAGGCGGCCCTCGCCGCCGCTCGGCAGGCGCACAGAGCGGAGGTGGAGGGGCTGCGGCGGGAGCTGGCAGAGGCGCGCGAGGTGCTGTGGGGCTGGGAGATGTCGCGAGCCTGGATCGGCGCGGCGGCCCTCGCCAGCCTCGCCATCGCCCTCCTCTCCTCGTCGTGGCTCGCGTGGTCGGCCACGGCGTGGGTGATCAAGGCCGCTGCGGGCAGCGCTGTGGCCGTCGTGGTGGCAGGCGTGGCTGTCGCGGCCGTGGCGGCACTCCTCTGTGCCGCGGGGAGCGAGGCTGCTTGCGAGCTGCAGCGGCACGTGCAGGCGGCGGCGCGAGCGGCGATCGCGCTGCTGCTGCTCGGCTGGCAGCTGCTTGCGTGGGCCGCCGGCGCCTTGGGTCCCCACCCGGCTGAAGTGACTGGCCCCGCGAGACAGCCCTCGCGAGGGACTGGGGCTGCTCAAATTAGGCGCGCTCGGCTGGTGGGGCGCTGCGGTCCTCCCCGCAGCCGCGTTGGGGTTGCGGCTCTATCGCGACGCCCGCAGACGAAGAGCGACGCAGCGGCTCGCGGAGGATCGGGCGGAGGTCGTGACTGCCGCCGCCGCCGCCGCCGCCGCCGCGTTGTGCGTGGCTCAGGAGGCTGCGGCGAGGGCGCGTGTCGAGGCGTCCGTTGTTTGCGCCGAGCTGCGGCGCCTCGACTGCGAGCGGGAGGAGCTAGGGCCATGGCTAATGGGCGGCGCACCAGAACCACGAGGTGGTCCGCCCTCCCCGTGCCCGAGCGGTGGGTGCTTGGCGAGCATCATCTCGGAGCAGGGCGCCGGGGAGGGCGAGCCCTCGAGGGAATGAAGCGGGTTTCGAAGTCCCGGGCATGGTATTGGTTGCGTCCCTTTACGATTACATCCATTCAGTGTTTGTAGAAAGTACGCAACATGCCCAGCTGCAAGCATGGGCCGGGCAGGTCTCGGCTGGGCAGGTGGGAGAAGCTGGCGGCAGCGGGGGCAGGGATCTGACTTCCGAGCGTTCTTCCAACTCGGGCACAAACACACACAAAACACACGCACCAGGAGCTCGTCAAGGCGCGGGATGTACACGTCAAGAACTACCCGTCCCTCGGAGACAGCGCCGTCAACAACCGCGAAGCCGCGCGCCTCATCTCCGCCTCAACGCCTTTCGCCGGCAAGGCCTTCGATGTCCGTGTCGACGGTACGTACGCGCCACCGCCCTCTCCTCCGACACCCTCCAGGACGAGCTCCAGCGGAAGCTCGGCCTTTGGCTCTCCGCGGCGCTTCCCACCCTTCGGGTCGCGCTCGAGCGGGGCATGCCAGTCGATTTCTTCGGCGACTACCTTTACAACAAGGCCCACCACCGGCGGCCCCACGACGGCGTCCTCGCCGCCTGGGCGGACGCGATGCGCGCCCCGGCCAACGCGCCGGTCGTGCACGGCGACAAGGAGAAACCAGAGCTCACCCGGCAGTACAATGAGGGGTACAAGACTGACCTCGCAGAACCCCATGCGGGGCCGGGGGGGATGCGATGACGTGAATGAAATCAAGCTCTGGACGCCCCTCCTCAAGACCTCCTCGACGGGCGTTGGCAACGCCTCGAGTGGCGGCACGCCCGCCTCCGTTGGCCACTCCTACGCCTTCGGCAACACCGAAGAGAAGGCCCGCCGCCTAAACATGGGCTGCAAGGCGCGCGGGCAGCCCGGCCAACCCTTCTCCCACAAGACCGGCCACGGCTACGTCAAGGCGCGCGCATCGCGGTTTCTACCACGACGCGATCTTTGTCAAGCGCAACAACTTCAACCTGCTGCTCCACGAGACGTACGGCGGCGGCTTCTCGCCCACCGCCGTTCTCAAGCTGCGCCGCCTCGCGCGCAAAGTCGCGCGCGGCAGCGTTGACCGCACAGCCTACTCGCCCAAGTACTCGCTCTCTTTTATGTCCCACCATGCAGAGCGCATCTCTCTCTCTGTTGTGCGAGGCGTGAACCGCGCCATTCGCTCTCACCTGGCAACCCTGTCTGCACGTCTCGCGCGCGCGTGAACAGGGCTCCTGTGAGTGTTAGAGTTGTTTGGTATTGCTAAAAAAAAACAAACACACGTGATGTAGAACGGCTTTTCAACGGAGCTCGAGTGTGGCGGACACACCCCCTTTCTTTTCGCGGGATTTTTGCGCAGGCGCCGCCAGGCGCCCGCCCCGGCGGTTCACTCGCTCCTCTGGTCTCGGCGGCGGCGTCGCGGCTTGCCGCGGAGGGCGCGAATAAAAGAAATTCGCACACACAGGAAGCCGCCCGTCATCCAAGGCGCCCCGCACGAAGCCGGAGAGGGAGGAGAAGCGCTCGAGATGGACGCCGGGCCAGCACAGAACGTGCAGGCCAGCGACGACGTCTCAAAAGCTGCGGCGGCCACATCGTCGCGCAGCGCCAACGCACGACGCTGCTGCGCTCCCGACGGCCAAGAGAATGGTCAGGAGCCAAACTCGACGGGATTCGTCAGCGATGCACGGCTGGCCTCGCTCAGCGGCAGCGTTACGCGCGATGTCCCTCTCTCGGACCAGATACGCTTACGCTCGGACCGCTCGCCGGATCAAGACAACGCCGGCGGGCATGCTACGCCGAGCACTGACCCCCCGCCGCCGCTCGCGTCCCGCGGGGCGCTGAGCGCCGTCAGCCGTGCGCCAGGAAGCGGGCGTGGCGGCGGCGGCGCCTTCCAGTCGCCGCCAGAGTCGGTCAAGCCCTCCGAGTCGCTCATGGGCATGGCACAGGTGAACGCAGCGCCGGCCCCTCCACCGGTGCAACTCCCGTCCCCCTACCTCTCGCAGCAGCAGGGGGGGGGATGCTCGTGGGCGCGCGCCGCTCGCCCCTCTCACCCCCGCTCCTCCGAGGTGAAGTGCCCTCTGTGCTTCCAGTACTTCCACCCCGACGTGATCGAAGGGCATGCCGCCACCTGCGGAGACCCCCCGCCGCCGCCTACCAACTCGCCCTTCCCGACCGAGCCGCGACGCATCGCCGACGCGCCGCCGCCGCGTCACGCCGAGAAGCAGCCCGACCAGCTCTTTCACAAAGTGCAGCATATCTCCACGCTGCTGGGAGAGACGCCCCTCCGACCGGACGAGGACCCGACCGCCTTGCTGTTGCAGTGGGTCGACATGCTCGAGATCATCGAAACCTTGCAGCGCGCCGTCGTCACCGTCCACAAGCCGGACGAGAATATACTCCAAGCCAGGCTCACAGCGAAAGTGCGCAACTTTCGGGTGCGGGTGCCGTGGATCCGCGAGAAGCTCGGCCTCCCGCCGCCGCACCAGCCGTACCTGCTCGCCATCAAAGAGGCGAGCGAGAAGGCGGGCCTCGCCTCCACCACCGCCGGGCTGCTGGTTCAATGCGACCGGCTCGAGGAGGCGCTGCGCCTCTGCGACGAGATTTGGCGCGACGGCCTGCAGCTGCCCTCCGATGGCACGACCCTGCCCAAGCAAGTCGAGGTAATACGACCGGGACTGCGGCCCTCTCCATCAGACCCCCCCCGTACCCCCGCCCCTCCCTCCGTTTCATCCTAACAGGTGATCTGCACGGCGCTCTCCCTCCCGCGGCGGGGCCTGCTCGATACGCTGACCGAGGCGCACAAGCGGATGTTTGAGGACGAGGCGACGGAGCCCGGGGCGGCGCCATTCCAGGCGGCGCTCCCCGAGAAGGTGGCGCAGATCGCAAACGTGCTCGGCACCGACTCGCTGCCCGTCGGGGGGAGCCTCGTCGACACGCTACACGCCGCCAACGAGATGGTGGGCCTGCAGGGCGAGGGAGGGCTGGTCGAGCAGGCCGACCGGCTGCTGGAGATGATGCTGCGTCCGTCATGCCCGCCCCCGCCGCCGCCCCCGCCGCCGCCGCCCCCGCCGCCGCCGCCGCCGCCGCCGCCGCCCCCGCCGCTGCCCCCGCCAGACGTTGAGCCCGAACTCTCGCCTGTGGCGTTCGATTCGAGCACGGGCGACGATTCGAGCACAGGACCGCTCACAACCTTCTCGCCGGCTGCCGCCACCGCCGTCCGATCCGAGCTCCTGGCCTCCCTCGGGTGCCGGATGCCTGCCCCCGTCCCTCACGCAAGCGTGCCCTCCTCTGCGCGTGCGGCCTCGCCACCTCAGAGCCCAATCCCGTGGCAGCCAGCCTCGCGCTCCTCGCCGCTCTCGCCGTCCGGCGCCGCGTCTCCTCCTCCGTCTCCAAGGCTGACACAGCAGGCGGCGTCGCCCTCCTGCTCGCCGCTCACCAAGGCCGGCAAGACCAGCGTCAAGACCAGCGTCAAGACCGGCGAGCCGTCGCGGCTGTTCAAGGCGGACCGTGGGCGGCTCGTGCTCGAGCGGACTGACCAGCTCTCCGCCAAGGCCGTGGCAGCGGCGAGCGGCGAGAGTGCGGGGCCACCTTCGCCCTCGTCGCTCTCGGCCAGTGCGCGGTCCGTCTCGCCCTCCTCGCCCTCGGCCTCGCCCGCGACGAGGAGCGGTGCACGGCCGAGCACGCCGCGGACGCAGCCACGCAAGCCCGCCGCAGGTGCCGTCTCGCGCCTTCGCCACGTGGCCCCTGTCGAGACAGCGCCCCCGCCACACACCGCACACTCAGGCGCCCCCCCCCCCCCCCCTGCAGGGAAGTCCAGCTCCAAGCCCACGCCGCCACCCGAGCCGGTGCCCTTCAGCATCGCCCCGCAGTGGTCAGAGGCCAAGCCGATCCCGCAGCGGCCCGCGCCGCCAAAGCCATCGGCGCCCGCGCCGGCACCGCCGCCGCCAGAGCCGCCAGGACAGCTCTCCCCCTCCTCCCCAAACGGCACGAACGAGGAGGGCGTGGCACCGGCGCCGAGGAGGGCGTCCTCGTTGCCGGCGGGCAAGACGGCCAAGGACAAGCCGGAGCCGGCCCAGGTGCAGCGGTCGGTGAGCAGCACCGCCGCACTGCACGCGCCGCGGCCACGGCGCTCCGTTGCGCCTCTCGACGCGCCCGCGGTGCCGCCTCTGAGCCGCCTCGCGCAGCGCACCCGCCTGGACCGCGACACGCTGGCGCGCAAGCCGACGCCACCGCCCGCCGAGCTGAGCGCTGCGGCCGAGAAGAGCCTCTCTGCGTTCGCCGGGCCGACGCCGCCCAAGGCCGCCCCCGTCAGTGCCCCTCTCCTGTCGGAGGCAGAGATGAAGCCTCGGGTGGCCCGCTGCGAGGAGTCCCTCGGCATCGAGCCCGCGGATACGGCCACCCTCGCGCAGCGGATCGGCAAGCTGGAGCGCAGCCTCGGCCTGGCGAGCAGTGCGAGCGACGGCACCCTCGAGGAGCGGCTCGTCGCCATCGAGAGGGTGGGTCTGCCGCTCAGCCGCATCGCCAACTCGGCCGCCTTCTCGCCGTCCGAGGGCAGCGAGATCAAGAAGCAGCTCGTGGCGTTCGAGGCGATGCTGCACGACGGCGCGCTGCGGCTGCGGCCAGGCCCCGAGGCGGAGCCGAGGGGCGTTCTGCGGCTGCTGACGGCCGCCTCAAAGGCCACCGCAAAGGCGGCCAAGGCAAAGCCGCCCCACGACAGCAAGCCTGCTCAAGACGATGCGGCGCTGAGGCAGGCGCGCCGGATGAACGACGCCAACGCGCGCCACGCGGCGGGCCTGCTGCTCGCGAGGAAGATGGGGCGGGGCCACCTGTCAGAGCTGGGCGCACTCTCGAAGGGCGTGGGCGAGGCCGCCATCGCCTCCCACTACGAGGACCTGCCCTTCCGGGCGATGGAGGTGCTGTTTGAGCAGGCCGCGGTGAGCCCGAACGCGTGCCTGCGCGGGCTGCCCGAGGACGTGCTCCGCCTCTGTGAGCCGCACGTCGAGCGCGTCGGAGGCCTCTCCCACTCCGATGCTCTGATCGGGCTCGGCGTCTGCGTGCGGTGCGCCAGGCCCCTCGCGCTGCCAGGGCCACCCCCCACGCTCCCCACCGCGACTTCCCGTTGCGCACAGGGCCGGCCGCGTCGACCTCCTCAACGCCCTCTTGGCGATGCCCCTCACGGCGGGATCGCACCAGGCACGCTCTGTCCCACTTCCCCGACCTAGCAGAGCCACCCCCCAGCACACACTCCTCCCTGGCCTAGCGGAGCCACCCCCCCCCACACACACACACACAGTCACAGTGCCACTCAGCCCCTGGCCCGACTTATGACCTCTGCCGCTGCCAAGAGCCGCTTGACGCTGGCCTCCGCAGGAGCTGGTCCGGCGATGCGAACGCGACCTCGGTGTCGCGGCAGAGGCGACCCCCACCGAAGACGGCAGCGACGCTTTCCTCCTGACCTTCACTGGTACGACCGAGCCGCACAAGACGGCCGGCGCGCTGCGCGAGATCTACGGGAGCGTGAGTGCGCCAGTGCGGTGCGAGGTGGAGGAGGAGAAGCGCCTCACGACGATGACGTTGTCGAGCAAGGAGGTGGCCACCGCCTACCTCCAGAGGAGGGACAAGGACGAGGCGCGGACGGGGAAGCAGAAGGCGACGCAGGCAATGAAAGCGGAGCTCGAGAAGACGGAGGCTGAGGCGCGCTGAGCCGTGCATGGCGAGGCCATGACCCCTCAAGACGCGTCACCGGCGCGTCCACTCTAGGTGGAGCGTGAGAGGGGGCAGGAGAAGGACGTGGTGGCGCACGCGGAGAAGAAGATCGAACAAGCCCGAGACTATCAGACCGAATGCGAGACATACCTGAAATTTCTCGCCTCACCGGAGCATCAGCAGAACTACAAGAAGGCGTCGCTCCGCTGCGCGCGCGAGGCGCATCTGCAAGCGGGCTGGGCACGGCTCCTCTTTGGCATCCGCGTGGCGCGGCGCGAGCGACGCACCGCCGCGCCCGCCGCGCCCGCCTCGCCGCCCGCCTCGCCCGCCTCGCCACCCACCTCGCCCGCCTCGCCCGCTCGCCCGCCCGTCTCGCTCGCGCTGGCGGCGACCTCCCCCACGAGCGTGCGAGTCCAGCTCAGCGAGGCCACGCCGGAGGCTGGCACGCTCGTCGTCAAGTCAAAGCCGGCGCCAACCAAGCCGCCGACCAAGCCGCCGACCAAGCCGTCGACCATGCCGCCGATCACGGAGGCATCCCCGGCGACTCCCAAGCCGTGGCCGCCGAACATCCGCATCAAGGCGCGCCGTCCCTCCCCCCTCTCGCCTCCACCGCAGCCCCGCTCCCACCCACCATCACAAACCCCACCCCTCCACCCTCCCTCCACGCACAACACAGGTGCTCGTGGACAGCTGCGTGGACACGAAGACGCGGGCAGAGGACCCCAAGGTTGCGGAGGAGACACGGCAGTCGATGCTCAAGGACCTTTCTAGCAGGCTGAGGGACTTGAAGGGGGCGTTCGGCGTGAGCATCTCTTTTCCGGCGAAGCGCTGGGTCTGTGCTGACGGGCGCGCTGGAGACATCGAGCCGTTCAAGTGCGACTCCGACCCGGCGCCGCGCGCAAGCTCGTCCACGCGCGACTTCACGCAGGAGCAGGCGGAGAAGGCCATCCTCTTGGAGCACGAGGAGGACGCACTCGAGCCCACGATCGAACCTGAGGAGCTCGCGGAGGTCATCCGCAAGACACCCGAGTACATCAAGCAGAAGGAGCTAGAGATCGCCAACTTCAAGCACAAGGCCAAGGAGCGCGAGCAGAAGTGGGAGCATCGCCTCGTCGCTGCACGCGCGGCGGTCACGCAGGCGGAGACAGAGGAGGCCGCCGCCGAGGTGGACCTCGCCGCCAAGGAGGGCAAGCTGAAGCAGTTGAAATACTGCCATCGAGTGCAGCTCCGGCTGCCGCGCCAGACGGTGGCGAGCCTCGTCGGGGAGAGCCGGACGCTGAGCGCCTGCCTGCTCAAGTTCGACAACGCGTCGATCGGCTGCCGGCTCGCCCTCGCGCCGTCGGGCCACGGGCTCGTCGTGAGCGACGTCGCGGAGGGCTGTGCCGCCGACGCCGCAGGTCTTCTCTCAGACGACGTGATCCTCAGCGCCAGCGTGATCGCACGCGGGGACGAGACGCTCAAGGAGCCGCAACTCGTCAAGGACGCGTCGGCCATCGCCTGCGCGCTCTCGCCCGCCGACGCATCGCTGCGCCTCTTCCTGGGCAGCGAGGAGCTCCGCTTCGAGGAGCACCGGATGATGGCCGAGGACGACTTTGTGCGGTGCGCTCCTCCGGCATGCGGGCGGAGCCCGTTGGCGACACCCACGTCACTCGCCCCCTCTCCTCCCCTTGGTGATGCCCCTCGTCTCTCACAAGGTGCTACCGAACCTACTGCTGCGACAACGACCTCGTGCCGCTCGGCTCGGATGCCGCGAGCGGCTTCGACGTCTTTGCCGACCAGGCGCTGCATGACCCGAAGAAGCCGCTTGCTGGGCTGGCCGGCGACGATCTCGACCAGCAGCTCCGCAGCCTGTGGGCAGGAGCTCGCCCGGAAACGCGCAAGAAGTGCGACGACTTCGCGCACAAGGCCCGCCGCAGCACCGGCCCCCTCACTGTGCCGCGAACCCTCGCCTCCTCCATCTCGCACCGCCGCCTCTGCAGGTCGCTGCCTTCTGCGCCTTCCGGGACAAGCAGCTGGCGCGGGTCCGACGCGAGTGGTCCGCGTGGCCGCAAGAGAGGGTGGACAAGAAGCTGCTCGAGCTGTCGGGCGTCAGCGTCCCCGCCGAGCGGCGGCAGAAGCTTCTGCGCCTCGCCACCGACCAGGCGCGCAAGCTGTCCAAGCCGCACTGCTCGGAGGCGCTCTCCGACTTCAAGCTGCAGGCAGTCTCCCACCGCCTGACCGACGAGGCTGGCGTCGTGACCGCACTCGCCGCTCTCGAGTCCTCGCTGACCAAGCTCCTCGGCGCCGGCGGGGTTGTCGAGCAGATGGCCACCTTCCTCGAGAGCGACCTGGCGAGCGACGCGGACGAGTGGGCGTCGCTCCGCGACTGGGTTCTGGAGATGCGCCGCACTCACCTCGAGCTGGTCCGCGCCAAGCGGTACGACGAGGCGACCGCGCTGCTCGACTCGGCCAAGGAGAACGTCGAGGGGCGGCGCGAGGCGCTGCTGGCCAGAATGAACGAGAAGAATGAGGAGGCGATGGCGGATGCTGCCCAGTATCGCGCACGCCCCGTCGAGGACGAGAACACGTTGGAGATGGACCACGCGGCGGCCGCCGAGGTCGAAGCGAAGGAGGTGCGCGCCGCGTTGAACAAGAGCTTGCTCGGAAAGGAGAAGGCGTTCCGGGTGGCGAAGCATCGCGCTGTGGCGGAGCATGACGGCCTGACGGCTGCAGCGGCGATGGCTACCCTGAACGGATCGCTCGTGGAGAAGGAGTACTTGGAGGCAAAGGAGGCGTCCGAAAACGCCGATGCCGACGCCAGCCGCGCCAACTCGCTTTTGCGCAACCTCGAGCGAGAGGCGCGCGAGCGGGCGGCGAAAGCCAAGCGAGAGTACGAGGCGTCGGCGGCCTTGAGGGCGGCGGCTCAGGCGCACAGCCAAAAGGCGTCGAGGTTGCTCCAGGCAGCCGAGCACCAGCTCGAGTCGCTCGCCGAGCAGGCCGACGCCCACGCGGCAGTGCGGGCCATGCTGAGGAGCGCAAAGACGACCCGCTTCGTCCGCGGGTGCAGCACCGGCGGCGCCCGCCCGAGCGGCATGCCCGCCATCGCCGAGGCCGAGGATGAGAGAGAGGCGGTGGAGGCGCCGCACCAGCAGCAGGTCATCACGCTGCAGCTGCAGGTCGAGCGCAAGAGTGCCATCCGGCTCGCCGTCGAGCGGCGCAGCGTGCCAGCGCTGCAGGCGCTACTCTCTGCCGCGGCCGCAGGCGCCAAGGCCAGCTGGCATGAGGCGCCAGACGTGCGCCGCGCGCTCGCGGACGCGTGGCGCGGCGCGCTCGCTTGCCCGCCGGTCGACAACAGCGTCGTGCTCGGCCCTCGGTCTGCGGCGCAGGCCGACGCCCTCGGCGGGTGGCGGGCGCCTCTCGAGTGCTTGTGGCAGGCGCTGCCCGCCGGCGCACTCACGCGGTGGTCTCTCGGCGCTGCCACCGAGGGCGAGGTCGAGGCGTGCCTCGCGTCGGAGTCGCGCACGACCAACGGCGTGCTGGCCGGTGTGCTCCGCTCCGACGACGGCTCGTTGCATTCGCTGCTGGAGTTGCTCCTGAGCCAGCGCGCCGCCGACCCAAAGGCGGGGCCGCACGCCCTCGACCGGCTGAGGAAGAGACTCGGCGAGTGCGGCATCGACGAGGAGAGCAAGCCCGGCACGCCGCTTGCGCCAGGAGCGGCCCTGTCGGTGCTCGCTGGCGCGCCAGCGGACCAGGTTTTGCGGGTCTCGAGCATCAAGGCCCTCGCGTGTTGCTGCGGAGCCGAGCGCCTTGCGTGCGATGACTGTGACCAGCGTGACGCGAGTACTGTAGGAGCTCTGCTCGCTGCTCGAGGGCATCGCCGCCCTGCTGCCCTTTGAGGTTGGAGGGGCGCCACCGCTGCTTGAAGCGCTGCAGGAGGCGGCTGCGGGCGACGTGCGCCCTCGTGCCCTGCTCGTGGCGCACTTGTGCGAGGAGGCTGCCGACCTGAGCTCGGGCTGGTCGCCCCTGCATGTCGCGGCGTGCATGGACGACGTCGAGGCGACCGAGGCCCTCCTGCAGGCGGGCTTCTCGGCGCTGGCTGAGGCGCCGCTCACGGGCGCGACGCCGCTCTCGTGCGCCGCTGTCTGCGGCAGCCAGCGCGCGCTCACCTCGCTCTGCGCGTTCCAGCTCCCAGCTATCGAGGCGGAGTCCATCAAGACGGATGCAGAGATGAGGGCGGCGCTGACGCGGCTGCTGCCCGCGGTGGCGGAGCAGTGCGACGAGTCCTCGGTCACTCGGCTCGGGCCGATGCTCACCTTGCTCGTGCGCCACGGCGCCAACCCCGCCGCGCAGAGCGAGCCGTTCGAGCTGAGCGCTGGCAGCCCCGCCCGCTCCCTCTCCCCCTTCGAGATGCTGCTGCGGCAGTGCCTCCCGTGGCTCGCGTGGGCGCACCTGGGGCTCGAGAGCAGCAGCGGGCAGGCAGAGGCGGCAGCGTGGCAAGCCGCGGCGCAGAGCCTCGCCGTCGGCACGGCATTCGCGCGGCCCTCTGAGGGTGAGCCGCCCTCCGCCGCCGCGGTGGGGGCGCAGGCTGTCGGCCGGCTCCTCCTTGCGTACGTGCCGTTTGGCATCTGGCCGGCGAAGGCGCAGGAGGAGCTGAGGACGGCGCTCGTCACCAGGCAGGATGGGCGGTGGGCTGACGCGCCACTGCACGCCTTCGCCATGGCGCCGCACGCGGCTCTGCTTCCCGTCGTCGAGGCGCCTGCGCCTGGATGAGCGCACAGTCACCTTCCCGGAGGAGTTGGAGCTGACGCCCCCCCCCCCACCCACCCCCCCTCCCCCCTCCCAACCTTTTGCTAGGCGCTGCTCCAAGGCGACGCCGACCCCAACCTGAGGTGGCCGGACACAGGCCGCTGGTGCGGCCAGTCGGCGACGCACCTCGCCGCCGCGGGCGGGCTGTACGTCTGGGGGCGCGACAGGGACCGACCGACGGTGCGCAGTGGCGGCGAGAGTGGCGCCGACCTGCTCAGGTCGCTAATCCCTGGATCCCCCTCCGGCCTTCCCCGCTTTCAACGCCGTTTGCTCTCTTGCGTAGGCTGCTGCTCGACCCGCTGCTCGGGAGGGCCAACCCGCTGCAGCGCGACGCGCGCAGCAACCTGCCGCTGCACCTCTGCTGCGCCATCGACGACCGCGCGGTGGCAGGCCTCCTCGCGGCGCAGCCGGAGATGGGCGCCCACAGCTTCGAGGGCTACGGGACGCAGAACCGACGGCACGTGACGCCGCTCGCGCTCTGTGACGCAAGCGGCGGCGTGGCGGCGCTCGTGGCCAAGCTGCGCCAGGAGGCCGCGCGGCTGGCGCAAGCGGCGGAGGAGCGGCTGCGCGCCGCGGGCGGCACGCTGCCGTCGATCGATTCGATCCTCCGCCCCGAGGTGAGCACGGCCCGCAGCCTGTGAGGGCGGCACTTCGCCTGGTCGTCTCTTGCATGCT